AAGCGATTTGCTGATTTGGATTCCAGTGCTCAGGAAATTAGATTGTTTCAAAATCCGTTTGACTGTGATGCTGCAGATGTCCCAAGACAAATTCCAATGGAAATTATTGAACTTCAGGAAAATTGTCATATTAAAGACAAATATAAGGAAGGAAATTTGATTGAATTTTATAAATTTCTGAATTCTGAGCAATTTCCAAATTTAAAGAAATTTGCTTGTAAATTTATCTCCATTTTTGGGACGACGTATCTTTGTGAACAAACCTTTTCCCCAGATGAAGTACATCAAGTCGAAATACAGGGCAAATTTATCCGATGAACATTTAAAGTTGCTACTTGTGATTAGCGTTTGAAAATTTGAACCTCAATTTAATCAGATTTCAAGAATGCAAAAAGAGTTCCATCATTCACATTAATTGTTTTATTATAATTTGTGATGAAAATATGAGCATTTGCTGCTACTGTCTGTTGTCATTAATATACGATAATTTATTCTCACGTACTTTGTATTTAGTTTATGAGATTCTGTGCTTTCAATAAAACTCATATACCTAGAGTTATTAATTTCTCATTTTATCCGGCCTGTTGAAAGTGCTGAATTACCTAATGTGGCCCGCGGTTCAAAAAGTTTGGAGACCCCTGATCTAGATAATGGAATCTTGTTCTATTTCATCGTATTTGCAACAAAAAAATAAACTGTCACTTCATGATCAGTGTTATTAGTCTTTCTGTTTACACTAAATTAATCGGGAGCATATGCATTTCTGTTATAGGCAGTGCTGTAATGTGCAGCTTGTTACTGGTCTAGTACATGGCCATCTTAAAAGAATGAGTTCAAGCCTCAGATGCCCTTGTAACATTGAATGTTTAGTGGTAAGCCTGGTGCCAGCCTGATGACTTGCAAGGTGCAGGTTCGGACATGTTTATCAAATGTGATGAGCATACTTCGAAGTATTGATGTAGTTGAACATGTTAGCACAAGAAATGATGCAGTTCTGGACCCCTTCCTTTGTCCTATGGAGAGATTTTCTGTTGTATTGTCTGGAAACTTCTCACCTTATCACAATTCAGCAGTGGTACTGCCTGTAGTTCCACACAACACGTCGGCAATGAAACAAGGCTTCAAGGCAAAAACCTTCATAATGGATAAGAGTTTTCCTGGCTGTTGCTCCTTCAAACATTTTTGTAAGCATTGTTATCAGTCCACACTTTGATGGGGATGTAAAAGGGGGTCTCTGATTGTCCAGTGAATTATCATCTGCAGGAGCCCAAACGTGTGCAATGCACACATCCATCCTTTGTCTTGTATAATCATGAGACCAACAGTGGTTAAGTTAACATATTCAAGGTCAGTCAGATATGAGAAACCAGCTTTACCAATTGGGTGATCGCATTGTTATTTGGAATTTAGTAACAGTTGTCTACCATGCAACATTCCTCAGTCAATTGAGAGTTCCAGCAAAAGCATAAATGCCACCAGAATTCAAAGGACATGGTTTTGACCAAATGTTATTACCTGCATTCAACTCATAATCTGTTTTTACTTTGCCTACGTCAGGCTCAGTTCACTGTTAAATAATATTGCTTTATCAGTCACTCTCCAAAATGAAATCCTGTTAAATGTACTTTTTAATTCTCAAAGTGTTTACAGTATACAAAGACATATTCTGTTGAGAGTAGTAGTGCAAGGCTTATGCCTCTCCCCATAGAGTAGGAGGAGTTGGCATTTCTCTGTCCCTAACAGGATTAATATTGCAGTGGTGGTCCACTTGGAATGATAGCATGAGACGGACAGGGAATGTAGCATGAATGGGAGATGAGGAGAAATGCATATAGGAGATTGGTGGGAAAGCCAGAAGGAAGGAGGGAGACCACTGGGAAGACAAAGTCATAGGTGGTTGAACAATATTAAAATGGATCTCAAAGAGAGGGGATGGGATTGTATGGATTGGATTGTTCTAGCAAAGGATAGGGACTGCTGGAGGGCTCTTGTGAATACGGTAATGAACTTTGGGGTTCCATAAAATGAGTACCTGCAAAAGTAGCAGCTTCTCGAGAAGGGCTCAGCTCCATGAGTGAGTGAGTGAGTGAGTGATGATCCACGCCACTTCATGTCAGATACTTTTCATTGGTGGTCTGTGTCCCTTCACGATACTCCCCACACACCCTAGAACAAAAGCACATGAGAAGCTTTCATTTATTTACATCAGTTTTTTGCAGGATCATAATTAAATTCTAGTTCAGTGGTATTTTCGAAGTTTCTTATGAATCAGGGTCTTCCCCTCACCGTCTACAATGCATGAGAGAAAATAATTTTCACTTTTGTTCTGACTTATTCTCAAGTTGCTATGTCAGAGCTGACAGTAAAAGTAAAGTAAAGCAATCACTGTAACAGGCGGTGAAGGCCCATAGAGCCGTGAGACGTTGAGGGTTCCACATTTTCTCTAGACAGTCGGCTTAAAGATGACAGTAAGGTTGTCAGCCTTACACGCCGGCCGCGCTTTACTCCCCAGGAAAATTATTTAATTAATTCCTGGTACTCATTTCTGTTAGAGGCTGAGTTGACTCCAGGGACATAGTGCGGCCAGAAGGATTAGGTCAACTGAAAAATCCAATGGCCTCATCAGGAATCAAACCCGCAACCTTCCAGCTTGTAACATAGTGCCTCAACCAACTATGCTACCACGTGCCAGTACATGAAGAAATTGGACTGGAATGTTGACAGAGCCATCAAGTGAATAGAACATGATGGGAACCTTTGTCTTGCTGCTTTCTAGGTTCCGTGTTTATCAATATCTTGGCAGGGAAGGCTGTCTGTATAATGCAGTGGAGAAAATACTACTGCTGTGTAAGATGCAGCTGCCATACACTGGCTCAAAATAAAAAATTTAGTGACAACTTGAAATGAACTGGAGATTGCTGGAAAATATTCCAACCATGGTCAGTAAAGTGAATCTACCTGCTTCAGTGGCTTGGCGCATACAGCTGAGTCTAAACAAAACATCAGAGCTCTTATTGAATGGGAAATGGGAACGTTTTTATTATACAGTAGGCATGGTGATCAGGCAGCACATTACTAGCCAGACCAGATGTCATGTAAATATGTAAATTTTGAAACAGAAAGACTGTCAGTAACAGTTTTGTCATCCATTTTCTTAAAATGGGCCTTACTTGTCGACATCCTACAGACTATATTCTGTCCATTAATTCCAACAGTATGAGTAACCGTGTGTGCTATATTATGTGGTCCTGCCATTCTGCACTTCTTTATATGTGTGAGCCCAGTAAAGTTTAATGCTTCTTTTATGTTACTGACTGTTGGATAATTATTTTGATTGGTTCCCATATCAGCCTTGAATGCCAACATTGTTGTTTAGGTTGGTGGATTAGCCAGGTTTACCAGTATTGAAGTAAAATATCTACAAGAACATAATAAATTTTAAAGGAAGAAATATGTGAAAATCATATTAAAGCATTCTGTTCACAGAGTTATCAGGCGATATTTTGTTAAAATCATGTTTTCAGTCATCAATATTTTTGTTACAGGTAACATGACCTGCAGTGTACAGAAATTGTTCTTATCTGCAAGAGAAGAATAGCCTTCGATTTGGTTCGTCCTGGTCCGTCTTCTTTAAGAATATCCTTCATTGTTAATTGGACAGCATCAGTTGTTGAGAAACTGCTGTTGGAATTAACAAAATCTGGCAGCTTGCTAGAATACTAAAACCACCGTTTGTTCTGCCTTTAATCTGATTGGGTACAAATGTTAGAAACGTTTTCATTTCTTTGTTAATTACTTTAAAATTTTATAGCTAGTAAAAGAGATGAGATTTTTAAGTTAATTTTTTATAAAATTTGGAAACTGGTTAAGTGGAAAGTTTGTCAGATATGCTGAGAATTAATCCTTCCATGAGGGTGGTTTCCTTTATTTATACAAAGGTTGAGTGGAAGGTCTTTGATGGGAATGAAAACTCCTATCAATTTGGTTTTCATCATCAGTAGGAAAATTTGGCAGTGAAAAGGAAAAACAAACAGTTCTTCAGCAGGGGATAGTAATGATTTAAACATAAACAAGTTTGCCCACCTGAAAATAAACTTGTTCATATTGTCACATATAGGTGGTTGCATGACAAATAATTGTGGGTTCTAGATTTGACGATATGGTTTATTGGACGTCTATTACAGTTACAGTTGATTATAACAGCTCACACATTGAACTGCTTCCAAAGGACGTCTGACAAATCTGTATGAGGAATCTCAGACTGCTCTCTAGTCTCGAATTCTGGATATCTCTGCTACACTCTCCAGTACGATTCACACATGCAAATGAATTACACATCCTTTTATGACCTGGTGTGGACCGCAAACAGAGCACACAATTGAATGGTTTGTCTATTGTAATCTGCATATCTGTTGCCAGTGGAATGTGCTTAGTGAAGCGTTGTCTAGTAGCCAGTCATATTCTGGCTTTCAGGTGTTGTGTCACAGTATTCTCTTCATGGTAGTACATCACACTTGACTGAAACGTAGCTGTGACTGGGGTTGCCAGATGACAGACCTTTCACTGCTGACCCCTGCCCACTAAAGAGAAAAGAAATTTCAATAATTTTTCTTCATTGTACAAGTATTCTTTATTTTTATGTATACTGTGCATAATACTAAAATTAATGAATATTCAAGCAAGCCAAAGAAAAACAATTATTACACCAAAAAAGAACACAGAACCATAATCTGCTTAATTCCTGTTTAATCTTTATTGTTATTATACATATATTAGTCCTACTTTTTTAAAAGCTGTTCTTTTCGATCAAAATTGTTAATGTATTCCCTGAACTGTGTACAGGTAAAGTCACAGTTAAATTTGCTTCCCATATATTTTTTTCACTTTACCACGTGTTCTTCTTCATTCAGTCAGTCATGGCATTGGAATATAAATCAGTAGACTGAATTCTGTTAATTTAATCAGATTAGGTGATGTTATGCATTGATGCTTAAAGAAATTCATTCCCTCCCCCCTGGCACTACAGCCCCAGTGGGCATAGGCCTACCTCCATGAACTTCTCCGAAATCCACATTTTATCACATGGTAATTTCTGGAAGTCCTTATCAGTGTCATTAATTAGTTGATCAAAAATTGCTGCTAACAAATTATATTCTTCAAAAAAGATATTCATGGATATGAGGAACTATAAATTAAATTACTATTTCTGGTTATTTTATATGAAACTAGGTTCACACTTCCCACATTTGGACATGCTGTGGTAACACTGCTATTTAGTTTGGGTGTGACTTTTGTCCATCTTATGAAGATGCATGTAAGGTAGATACATTCATCAAGGTTGCAATGATCCCACCATCACCTAAATATACTACTGTATTGTTCGTTTTGCGATAACCCAGATCTAGCGGCATCACTTGCCTCGCAGGAGTAGTTTTGAGAGAGTAATTTGTTGAATTCTCTCTTAACAGATTCAGTTTATTATTCCTTAATGAAGACCACTTCTAAGCATGATAGTCCTCTCTTAAGAGCAGGCATTGCCACAGGGCTAAATTTATTTAATTTATTTATTTATTATTATTATTATTAGATTTGGAATTTAACTGTCTTGCCATTGAACCAAAAAATTCTGATTGTATTTCATACTTCCTGATGATTACACATTATTCATAATTCAGATACTAGTGTGATATTTTCATCTTAGGATTCAGTTATTTTTATTTCACATGTTAAGTCGAATACACATTTGCATAGTATGCTGTAATGTAACAAGTGTGCACATTTTTACTGTATCATTTGTTCTTCTTTGATTCATGACACAGTTAATCTGCACTACTGACAGTTTTCCAGCGAGCATCAGAGAATGTTGCATTATGCCATTGAGTCAGGTGTGTAAATGTTTCCACGCAGGTTCGCCTGTTGAAAACTGTTTCTCACCAGGTCCAGGTTATATGTCCACTCAAATTTTCATATTCACTTTCTTTGCAACTTGTAATTATCAGTGGGGTGGAATAACAAATGTGCATTCATAGAATTACTGAGCTAAGCTTGTGCCCTGGGATCCAGCACATCCCAAGTATTATAGCAGACACAGTAAGTATAACACTTGGGAAGCGCTAGCAAAGGCTGTGCACTTCTGGGATAATTTGGCTGATTGTTTTGAAATTTTGAAGAGGTATTGCAGGGCGGTGAACAAATTGCCTGTAGCCAAAAAACTGCTGTGTAACTGCCAGTCTCTTTTCAACTGGAACGGCTGCTCTGTATACGGTATCCTTCACAGTTTTCACACTGATTAAATTAATCAGGAATTCAAAACCTGATCCTGCCATACAAGTGAAATTTTTGTTCCACCAAATTCTTGGAACTTAAGTCCACTAACAGACTCGCACCACTATACACAGTTATGCTTCTGCACATCTGCATTTGCCACCAATGTCCTCTTCATTTCTTGTTCTTTGGCAAAATGTGGTGTATGAATATGAAAGCTGCCTATGATGATGACATGTTCTGACTGATAGCTGCGAACATTTGATGAATCATGGACATGCAACTTGTTCGTCCGAATGTTCACCGTCATACACAACTGAAAGTCGTAACTTGCAATTCAAAGCCCTGTTACATTATGCTGTTATGTTACAGCAGAATGCACATGTGTAGATCTGGCTTTAGAGTAGCAGATCCCTGATATGCTACAGCAAGTTCATTTTAAAAATGAAGAAATTGTGTTATATTGTTTTGAGGTAAAGTAATAAGATTCAAGCAGTTCAGGTACTTTTTTACAAACATTTTTTACTCTGCTATGATTGGTATGACAGTTGCATCCATTAGGCAGAGCATTTATATTTACATTGTGTATTTCTGTTGTCACACTTTGATTTCTGCAGAAATCGAGAGGTGCTTTGGCATCAGTAGTCTATAACATTTTCTACTGTAGGAGAAACGTGTTCTAAATTTGTTATTAATGTATTTCCTGTTTCCTTTTACGGTTTCTCAGAAAATACAGGGTGGGGCGCAGAAACTTCCTTTTTATGAAGGCGAATAAAGAGAAAATTATTGCCGATAGACAAAATTTATGTTTAGCTAATGAAAGAACATACTTTAAAGTTTTAAATCATGATATTTTAGACAAAATATCTTGAAGGTGGTGGCTACCGTTCTCTGTGCACCGATGCAACTGTTTTCTGAAGTTCCCTTCTGCAGATTCCAACATGTGCACCAGAATGCTACTTCCTGGCGAATAATATTCTTCAGCTGAAGCAGGTTTGTGGGGTGATGTTTAAAAACCTCTGCCTTGAGGTATCCCCATAAAAAAAAATCACAGGTCGTTAGATCAGGTGAGCGCGCTGCCCTCAGGATGTCACGTCGAAGCGAGATGAGCCGTCCGGGGAACTTTGCCCTCAAAATTGTCATCGAAACTCGGGCTGTGGGCGCCGTGGCACCATCCTGTTGGAACCAGACATTTCCTAGATGCATTTCTTCAAGAGCTGGTTCAAAAAAGTTTTTAATCATGTCCACGTACCGCTGTGAATCGACAGTAACTGCATGATTATCTTCAAAAAAATAAGGGCCAGCAACTCCAGCTCTTGACGACGCACACCATACTGTCACCTTATCACTGTGAAGTGGCCTCTCATGGAGCTCTCTGGGATTGTTACCACTCCAATAGTGCATATTCTGCTTGTTGACCTATCCGGATAGGTGAAAATGTGCCTCATCACTAAAGAAAACAAGTGCGTCAGGGGGCAAAGTTTCCAGTAACGTTTTGCACGCCGTTATTTGCTTCTGGAAATCATGTGGTGACAATTCTTGCACAACAACCATCTTATAGGGGTGGGAATGAAGATGTTCATGAAGAATTTGGCGCATTGAACGATTGGATATGTCTAGCGTGACTGCATGTTTGTGAGTGGAGGGTCTTGGAGATCTCAAAATCAACTGTTGAACTGCCTCCTCATTTTCTGGCATCGTAACAGTCCGTTGTCATCCTGATGATTTTTTCACCACACTCCCGGTTGTCCTAAATTTCTCTACCCACAAAACAGTATTTCCGGTCGGGAACTGGAACTCTGGGCTTAATACCGAAGTGTGTACGGAGCACGCTGCACCACCACGTAGGAATGGTTGTTCGAAAAATAGGCTTCGACAGCAAACGCACGCTGCTCACTTGTCCACCTCATGTTTCCTACTGAGGGGTATTAGACAGAAACTTCCACAACTGCTGCATTCACCGAGCCTATCCCCACTTTTCTGCCATGTCCCCTCCCTTCACTATGCGTCTTCACAAAAAGGAAGTTTCTGCGCCCCACCCTGTAGAACTCCTTATCGTGACTGCTGTGAAAACATCAGATCCATCATAATTGTGTTTATGTTCAAAATTGGTAAATTTAGGAATCTTCATAAAAATAATATAAAGCTATCACTGTAACAGACCATGGAGGCCCATAGCGTTGTGAGAGCAAGGCTCCGACATTTTCTAGACAGCTCACATATGGCAGTGAGGTTGTCAGCCTCACACAGTGGCCACTTTTTACCCCCAGGAAGATTCCTGGTACTTGTTCCTCTTAGAGGCTGGACATGATTAATTCTTGTACAGTTACACTGTACTCATTTGCTAAACAGTGAAGAGCCGGAATAACTCAGGATGTATGAGTATGAGGGGTGAGCCATAAAACTGGCCCTAGCACTGCGATGGTCTGTTGTGCTTCCCCTTTGGATTAACCCTTTATTAATCCTACACTTTGAATGAAATGTAGGACTTTGTTTACAGGGGCGTCATAAAAGTCACTTGGTTCCATGAAGAACTGAACCAGGTGGCGATATCTTAGGTAAGCTATAGCCTCACAATCACATAGGGTGTTTCTGGCTGAGTCATCTTCTTGTAGACACCTCTCACAAGTTGGGTCCTCTGTCAGTCTCAGCTTGGAAAGGCGCCCTTTTAGGTGGCAGTGTCCAGTAAGTAATCCTACCACCCATCTTAGTTGGTCTCTGTTTAATTTTAACAGGTCCCTCGTTCTTCTGGCAGAGGGTCCTGATATAAATCCTTTTGCCTGTTAATAACTCAGTATAGTGACAGGCTAGGAGCTGGAAGCCTAGGGTGTCTGTTCCGAGCAGGGGCAAGAAATTTCTTTTACTCCACAGCATCCAGACCGGCTCTGGAGCTAACCCAGTCTCCTATTCAGGGTGTACTTGGGACTCTTTCCCCAGGGGTAAAGTGGCCAGAGCATGAAGCTGACCACTCAAGTCCATGTACTGCTGAGGTCACGAATGGGAGAGCTATACCTCCACTCCCCACGTCTTCATGGTATGGTGCTTAATTAATTAAGCATAGGGACAACTCTGCCTTTACCTTTACCATTCATTGAACAGTCAGTGCGTTATTTAAAGCATGTAACATGTAAATTGAAACATTACAAGATGCTTTTGAAATTGATTGAGGACATCTGACTGGTGTGATTGATATGGGACGGTAAGATTAATTTTTAATTGACAGTTTGAGCTACCTTTTGTCATTAGATTTTGGCACCCCATACTAGTTCAATATCCATGATGTTTGTGGCCCATCATAACACTGACCACAGAAATGTGTGATGCTTCTTCAAGAGGATCTCGCTCTCCTCAGCCTATAATAATATGACGTGTGCGTAACCAGTTGCCACATATGCTCTTGTAACGTTTCAGCTTATGCAGAGGGAGTGTAGATGTATGACAGTATTGCATATGTCAGTATGTTCAGTCTCAGTGTTGTACAGGTAATTATTGCTGGAATGTTTAATTTAGTAACTTTTTGTATGTACATGTTTGTTTTATCTTAGAATGGCAAGGTGTGGGAATTTTTATCCAGTTTTTTTGAATGAGAACTGAAACTCTTTATGCTTTAATCTAATTATGTAATGTTTTAGATGACAGGAATATCATATTTGCCATTATATTTAATGCAAGTGTTTTGGGAAGATTTTTTAATAATAATTTTACAATTTATGTATTATTTTTTGTGTAAGCTTTAATGGCATCATGCTTAAATTGTTCTCGTATATGGTCTTGTATT